TTGCCTGGGACAAAAGAAAGCATGGAGGACAATTGTTGCAACTCTTAAGATACAGAGTAGAGCAAGAAGGCTTTTGCATAGTCATCGGAAACTGCAGCACCTACTTCCTTCAGCTGCTGCATTAAACCCTTGAGCTTCCCAATGTATGTTGCCATCATCTCACCAGGCTGCATGCATAGGGAGAAAAATTTCTGGGTCAGAACCAATTTAGCATTAGCAGCTTTGGCTACAAAGACTTGGGAAAGGGAGTCCCAATTGGCCTTGGCGGATTTTTCTAGATCAAGGAGATGAATAAATTCATCTCCAAGACCTAGTCCAATCACGGAAAGGGCTTTGCCGTTCTTAGAGTCTTAAGTAGCTTGCAAGGCTGCTTCTATATCTTGAGGTCTCACTTCGGTTCCCTCCACCAAATCTCAACAATTTTTTGCCATTAGGATTAATTGGACTTTGGTCTTCCAAGTTGTGAAGTTCTCGCCTGTGAACTTCTAGAGTAGCTTCTCCCATCCTACATCTTAGTTGCCAGCCAGGATGGCCATGGTGCTCGCTAGGGTGGTTCTAGATGTAGTGCGAGGTGGAGTACTGGTAGCCATTAGTTTCTAGAAGAAAGGACAAAACAATAGAGTAAGCTAGAAGCGAGGGGGGGGGGGGGGGGGGCGGGGGCGGGGGCAGGGGCGGGGAAGAGGCAGTGGGAATCACTGGAAGGGACGCCCATACGCCATGCACATAGAGCGACAATTAGGGTAGAAGCACGGATGGACATCATGTTGTGCTCACTTGCGTTCTTGAATCTGTCGTTCCACCCTAGCAAGGACTACAAGAGCCCTAGCGTGGTCCTGCTCGTTGTGTTGCTGTGTTTGCCAGTGTACGCAGAATGCTCTATCGACTTCATTGCTTTGGTATGGTTATGTACATAACAGTATGGGTGTGACTCTTGGTGGTTGGTGTCTTGGATGAATGACATGTCTTTTTTGCTGATGTGGAGACTTGTCATCAATTGTCTCCACAGTACAAAGGCCAAAGGATCAGCAACGGTTCTTGTGGCTGCATTGTTTGAGCAACTAAGCTAGTCGGATTTGATGTTTGAGGCTGAGTCGGGTCATATGTTTCAGACACTGTATGCAGCAAGCTTGGGAGACTCGGGGTTCATCATAGTTCGCAATTGGCAAGTAGTTGCAAGCTCGGAGCCCATGCAGCATAGTTTTAACTTTCTGTTTCAAGTTGGAACTTTTGGTGACCATCCAACGGTTGCAGAGGTATTCTTGCTTTTCCCTTAAATTCGCTAATTTTCTGTCTACAGGAATTCAAGATCCCTGTCTGCAAGGGGGACATCATTGTTTTGGGAACTGATGGCCTTTTTGACAATCTCTTCAACGACGACATAATCAAAGTTCTTAAAAAATCTCTTGGGTCCGACAAAGTCAACTTGAAGGTGAACTCTCGCTGTTGAAGAATCTCAAGATTGCTAATATTCTCCTCACTTTACAGGCATATAGCTGGGGCGCAGGCCGAGCGTTTGGACAGCCCATTTGCTAGGGCAGCAGCTGTCTTTTGTGCAGGACTTTGAAAAACTGCTCGTAGAGTGTTCTGGCTTGGAAGCTAACGAGTCTTGTTTTGACATTGGCACGCGCAAAGGACTTGACTGTTTACCAAGCCCGGTGAAGAACTTTTTCTGTGAATATAAAACACTGGAGGCCCATTGGATCCAATCGTATCGGAGCAAGCACAGCTCTTGGTTCTTATACAACGATATCATCACTACGTTTAGTGCTTTTGTGGCTGGAATGGATCGTGGAAGGATGCTTGTTGCCATCGCATTGGTGATCATGATCAGCGGCAACATCAAATGTTCCAGGCCGGGCTCGTTTTCGGTGATGAGCCAGCAGGCCGAGCTTTTCAATTCCGAATTGCGCCTTCCTGTTGTTAACAAGATCCACACTCTTCTCGAAAGGACCTCCCGGAGAATGCTCATCCAGGGTCAGCCCACGCCACCCTCCGGCCCTTCCGAGGACAACCACCATCATGATTGAAGAGGCGGACAGCCACGTGGCTGACACGTCACGCAAGAAGACACGTCAGGCTCTTTCCATCTGGCGGTGAATTCTCCAAATCCTCCACCTCCACTTCTTTTCCCATTCTTCCGCACCTCCGCTCCCTCCCATTACAGTCACACACCCAGCATGCGTCCAGGAGGCGCTTGTCTCACCAAGGTGAGGGGAATGATAAAGGCAACTTTCCATTTTTCCCTGTCAACTTCAAGAGACTTGAGAGCCGCTTGGAATTCCCAGAAGTTCAAAGTCTCCACAAGACTTTCAGGGATGTCGTGTACAGCTGCGAGCAATCAGCCGTGGTGGTGGCTTGCCCTTGTTCTGGCGAGAAGATCTGCAAAGAGGAGCGGCTGCAGTGAGTCTTGAAGATTCGCAGGTCGTTCGGATTGGGCATTGGGCAGCACTGGCAAAGGCAGATTTTCTCCCACTTGACGTGATGGAGTCTCATTGGATGCACGTCTGGTGAGATGATCAGCGCCTTGGAGACAGGATTGTAGACCTTGTAAGCCTTGTGTTCAATGCCATAGCCTAGGAAAATGCTTCGTTCGCTTGTTGGAGTGTGTTTTTTTTCTAGTTATAGAGGGGATATGGACGCCATGGAAGGTGCGCTAATCCATTCGAATTCCACTTTGTGCAAGAACCCTTGACAATCCTGGACCTCAACATTGACTAAAACGCGTCTTTTCGTACTTCCGAGATACGTTTTCTTGCGGTCTTAAGGCCACGAGTCAAGCTTACTGGGCTGGCTTTGGCTAAATTGTTTAGCCTTCACAATGCAGTTAGCAGCAAGAAGAAGAGCGTCGTTGCCTGCTCCAGCTGTGAGGCGGAGGCTAGTTCCGCATGCAAAGAGGCCATCTGGCTTCGCCGCCTCCTCAACGACACCCGGCCCAACACCAATCTACTGTGACAATCAAGGCTACATCGCCTCGAGCAAACATCACAAGATTAATTCCCGGACGAAACACGCACCACGCTGGGAGACACGTCCAGTTCTTTCCATGTTCTTGTGATTCCAATCTCGATAATGCAATCTTAATTGAACATCACAACAGCCTGGAAATCGAGTCCACTGCTTCATCCAACCAAACAATCTGATCTCGTGCACAGCATGAAACAAACATTCTCTGTGCCTCTCCTGATAGAGCCATACAGAACCTTCTCATGTCCAGCCACTTGATTATTATATGCAGTACACTCAAATACGTCCAGGTAAATCCCGAAATCCTCTCAAAGTAGGCTAAAGGAGATACTTTGTCATCTTGCCAAAAGCCCCTTAGAGAGGGCTTGGGTGAGTTGACAAGGTGTAGTTTTGGTCTTTCCCTTGAACATTGTAAGATCATGGACCTCACTTCACTACAGTGTCACCTTTAGCCCATTACAATGCTGCATAAAGGGATCACTGCGTTTGCTCATTGAGGCAAGGGCGCAATGGGAAAGGTGACACTCCGGCCTGCGCCTACATCAGCTCCGTGAATCGCAATAAGGATTTCTTTCTTCTCGTGACAGGGGATTTTAGGATCGCGCCAGGCAGTGATCACTTCGTCTGCATGATCGATATCTTCGGCCGTGGCAGGCAACTGGAGAATGCCGAGGAATTGCTGGTGCCATGCCGTTTGTGCCGGATGCTCTGGTTTGTAGGGTTTTGGTGGCATCTTGCCGATCGCATTACGATATGTTTCGGGCATTGGATCGACGTATGTCCTGGCAAATCGCTCCAGGACCGTGTTTAAAATGGAAATTGGCGGGAAAGCGATCTAGCTGTGCTTACGAAAGTTTCCGAAAGGTAAGAGCTTTGGAAAAATAATTTATTTATATATGTAACTTAGTCAAGTCAGCCTCGCAACCTTTGGAGAAACTTTCAAGTCATGCCGATGAGCTCTCTCAACTTCTGGATGAGACCACGGTCGTCAATCTGGAATGCTTTCGCGATCACGTCGTCGTTGATTGGAGGATTGGAATCAAACACCGCCTTGGCCACCTGAGTTGCCCCGGGGTTTTGGCTGTTGAAGCCAGCCATCGCAACCGCAGGCTCCTTTCCAACGTTAAGCTGGAAGTGGACGAGTCCCCGAGGGAAGACGAACAGATCTCCAGGATAGAGCATTTGGGCGAAGAGCTTGTTGTCCGGCAAGGTGGTGACGAATCCGACTAAGAGGTTCCCGTGCACGAGGAAGAGCAGCTCGGATCCTCGGGGATGGACGTGGGGGGGATTGGTGCCGCCGGGAGCATAGTCGACGCGGGCAAAAGCTACACCAAAGGTGTTGAGACCGGGGAAATTGTTGACACTCGCCAGCGTGACGTTGGAGCCGAGCTTGTTGTCGGTGTTCCCGGGAGTCGCCAGCAGGCTCGACTTGAAGTCCTCGGCTTTCACATCGGCGGCCGCCTTGCAGACGACGCCGTTCACTTTGATCTTGGAGCCATTGTCTGCAACGCAAAAGTCCTGCAGCATATCTTCATCCGCGGCATGCACAAACAAGATGGAGCTGATTGCTAGGAGGAAGGATAGAACAAAACGAAGATGAGCCATCTTGTGAGCTTGGAAAAGACTGATGGAGCTATATGAGGGAGGGGCAGGCATTTTATAGCCGGAGGAGGGGAGGCGAGGTCCTTTGGATGACTTCGTCGTGAATCGTGCACGATTTTAGGTACACGGTCTTCTGTTCCCTTCTATTTCATTTTTTACTCTTGCTGTCCGCGTAACACAATCTGATTTGTTTGCTGCCAAGTCGTCTCGGAAGTTTTCTTTTACCGGGCTTGTCTAGAGCCGTCAAAATCATCTTTTATGTGTGTAGATGATGACGATCTTGGTTTTGATGGTAAGAACCGGTCTCAGTGAAACTCGAGTTTTACACGGTCTTAAAAACTTGACACTAAATTGCTTTGTAGAGACTTTTTATGTGTGGAGTTTTAACGGAATTATTATGGATTGTGTAGGTCCATTGCTGATACAAATAAACTATGGGTATATCGACCAAAGGTACATCTATGTAGGTTATCAATTTTGCAGACAACTGTGTAGAAGGATAGTTCATGAGACATACATAGTCATAGTCATTGTGATTATTGCTTGCATCATTGTCATGGGCAGAATAGAATGTTTATTGCTGCCACTTTATTAATCAGTTTAATACAATAAACTTATGATTTTAAAAAGTTTTATAATTTGTCCCACCAGTGAAATCTAGGAAAGCATCCAGTTGGGGTGGTGGGAGTGAACTGAGAAAATACTCCTGTGCTGCTGTGTGAGCATGTCAATCAGTCAGCTGACCTCAGTATCAGTGGTCGTGGGCAGTGCATTCTAAAGCTCTTGGACTTGTTGGGCAAAGTCGGGCACCCATGCTGGCATGACTTAGTCGTGACCACAGTGAGTTCTGGTTGTTGATAGGAGTGTTGTAAGCAGCATATGCATCCTAGTCAGACATGAGGCGGTCAAGAACTCTTGGAATTCCCCGCCATACCATTTTGTCAAGGAAAAATCTAAACAGTACACCACATGATTAAAGAATAGTTTGGCTGACCAAAATGTAATCATTTATACTACTCCTGTTCCATCTATGGTGCCCAATTGTGTAGTGCTGTTAACAATGTAGAGTTGGGAGGCGCCATTAGTCATGTGGATGTCCTCCGCTGCTGCCTGGTTCCAGGAGCCCTTCCGCTGTTGTTAGTTGAGCCTGCGAAGTCCGTTGCAATGTTAAAAACGTTTAATTGCCCAGCCAGCCTCACTGGTTTGATCGGTCAGTGTATAGTTTTATCTTAAGAGTAACATTCCACGAACTAGAGAGTAGAATTTAGCTGCTCAACCAAAGTCCCACCCATATCCATAACCCATGCCTTGTCCACCAGTGGAATCAACTCTCTGCGAGGAAAGAAAATAAGATCCAAGCACTAATCACGCAAGTTTACCGCAGATCATGGCTCACAACGAGCAACGTCCTCTCCTTCTTTAAGCACGCGAGGTAAGAATGTAGCCTGGAATTTTTGGTGAGGTGTTGCTGATCTCTCTATCTCTTGAAGCGCCCGAAGAGACAACACATGTTACTTTCGATGAATCGGCTGTTTCCCTCCCACAACCGGCCAAGACACACAACTCGGCTTGCAAAAATGGCGAAGAGGTTTGCAAATTTTTCTTTCCTTCTCTATATACTGAAGTCTCAAGCTTGCAAGGGTGCCAGAATGCTGAAACGGATTCTAGCAGCCGGTGAGCTTGTTTACGTTTCGCGTGGCTATTGGTGAAATTCATGGTGTTCTTGCTTTTAAGGTTGCTTCGACTGGACTATGCTGCTGCGACGCGTCCCCATCCTGAGAAGGTGCAAAGCTTACTTGCTAATTTTTGTAGATCTTCTAAGCTTTGCTGTTTACAGGCTCAAAGAGGGGGTGAAGATGCCTTCGTCACTGAAGGCTCCTGGATGGGTGTTGCTGATGGTGTTGGGGGCTGGGCCGGAGAAGGTAAGAAAAATCTTTCTTTGAGTCTGTTTCTTCAAAAGAGTTTTTACTGCTTTTCAGGCATTGATTCGGGGATGTATTCTCGGGAGCTTATGGGACATTGTAAGGCATTGGTTGTAAACAGCAAAGGGAAACCGGACCCCAAGGACGTGCTTGTCAAAGCCGCCGGCAGTACAAAGGCCCAGGGATCAGCAACGGTCCTTGTGGCTGCATTGTTTGAGCAAGTAAGCTAGTCGGAGTTGATGTTTGAGGCTGAGTCGGGTCATATATTTCAGACATGTACGCAGCAAACTTGGGAGACTTGGGTTCATCATAGTTCGCAATTGGCAAGTAGTTGCAAGCTCGGAGCCCATGCAGCATAGTTTTAACTTTCCGTTTCAAGTTGGAACATTTAGTGACCATCCGACGGTTGCAGAGGTACTCTTGCTTTTCCCTTAAGTTCGCTAATTTTCCGTCTACAGGAATTCAAGATCCCTGTCTAAGGGGGACATCATTGTTTTGGGAACTGATGGCCTTTTTGACAATCTCTTCAACAACGACATAGTCGAAGTTCTTAAAAAATCTGACCAAGTCAACTTGAAGGTGAACTCTCGCTGTTGAAGAATCTCAAGATTGCTAATATTCTCTTCACTTTACAGGCATGTAGCTGGGGCGTAGGCCGAGCGTTTGGACAGCCCGTTTGCTAGGGGGGCTGCAAAGGCGAGAATGAATTGGAGCGGTGGAAAGCTGTTGTGGCGTTTGTGACGTGATATTTGAGTCGCGAAGGGTAAACTTTTCAAGCAGTTTTTGCGGAGGCCAGTGTAAATTGCTCAGGCCGCAGTATTTCCGGTTCTTACGCTAATTGAGGTATGACTCCCTTTTGATTTTATTCAAACGGCTCATCTTCGTGTCTTTGCTCATTAGAAACTGGTTTAAATCGCAGGTAACTGCTGCTGAATCTTCCTTTAAGAAATCAAGGTTTTGTTCCATCAGAAGGTTCACAGCCTGGAAGTTCTAGCCTCACTGGAGATTGAACTCCGGACAGGACAGGTATCTCTTCTGTTTAGAGGGAACTTCTCAGGGTGTTAGACATGTCAAGGAATCAGTTCAGCTGGACGATCACGAGCCGGCAACATGATCTCTGGCTCGTCCTTCTCGGGGGTACATGGAGCTGCTAGGCCTTTGGCGCGATGGGATCTTTCGCGACTGCGTGGCTCTCCAGGAGCTCTTCAACAGTCTCATTCCCCCGTCCAGCAGCAAACTCCGGAATGTCATTCTCGGCTCTACATCTCTCAGCCATCCAAATGGGTGTGCGGGCTTGGAAGTGCTCGAACAACGTTTCGGAGGAGCACGTGTGGGCTGTATCTTGTCTCTCAGCTTGGGCAGACTCTTTGAGTTTGCTCGGATCTCTCGGAGAACCGGTTGGAGGGGCTGGTTCTGAAGGACTAAGTGGTGGAAACCCTGCTACGGTCGGATAGCAACAAAGAGCTCACGGAGAACAGCTTGAAGGACAGCTCCAGGCGAGCTCGTGTGGAAGATCCTTGGATACCGCTCTCATCCCAGTACCGTGAGACTCCACCAGAAAGATGGTGAGCGACGAAGTCAATTGGCTGGAGCTGTGAGTTCCTTCTTCGTCTTGAGTATTTGGTCGCGTGTCCCGTCCACATGGTAAGCCACGGAATTGTTTCTTAGTTGCTCAAATCTTAATTCTTTCTGATCTTCAGGTTAGTAATCACCATCACCAACTAAGAGGAATTTTTTGCATTGAGGTGGAGTTCGGGAGGCAACTTTCCAGGATCGGAGGATGAAAAGTTACAGCCCGAGCTTGCTGTTCTTCGTGCTCCTCTTCTCCGCTGCAGCACTGCTACTCATATGGGTTCTCGACATAAATTCCGACTCTGCGATGATGTCCCGGAGCCGAACTCTGGGATCAAACTTCCGGATCAGCAACAACACCACAAGCTACAACGGCAGCGACACTTGCAGGAGCAGGAACGAGTACGACTTCTACAGCCGCCGAAGATCGACGAGCTTCGAGCCATCCGAGTCGCTCCAAAGGAAAATCCTAGAGTGGAGGCTTTGCGCGGGAGGTGCGCTCCGGGGCCCGAGCAGTGCGCGAACTGTAGTACATGCGGCTACCTCGTCTACGTTCCCGCCAGCCAGGGGATCGGCAACAAGATGGTGGCTATAGTAGCAGCGTTTCTCTACCCGCTGCTCACCGACAGGACGATGCTGATCGCGAGGTTGGAGAACCTGGACACGCTCTTCTGCGAGCCGTTTCCACCCAGCTCCTGGCTGCTGCCGTCGAGCTGGAAGCACCTCGAGTTGGCGCCGTGGGACGCCTCCAAGTGGATTGGAAGCCTGGTGGGATCGCCCAACTGCAGCCGCGGCGTCGACGTGAGCTTGGTGGCCTATCTCGATTACAACTACAGGGACCAGGACAAGGCCTTCTTCTGCCAAGATCAACAGCAAGCTCTTAACTCCAGCGCGCGGTGGATCGTCCTCTCCTCCGGCCAGTACTTCACTCCGGCACTCTACAACGTCCCGGCTTTCAGGAGCAAGCTCGAGGAATGGTTCCCACAGCAGGAGGCCATCTTCCATCTCCTGGTGAGGTACCTGTTGCTTCCCAGTGACTTCGGGACAAGGCGGCCAGGTACTACGACGCGTACCTGGCCCAGGCCGAGCTTCTAGTCGGGGTCCAGCTGCGAAGCCACATCTGGTTCTCGCCACCCAACCTCGCCGAGGATACGTTCGACTGCCTGGTGCAACAAGGCGCGCTCGCAAACACCACCCAGGAGCGAGCTCCCAGATCGTCGGTGAGGAAGAACAGCAAGAAGGTGGCGGTGCTGGTGGTGTCGCTCAACTTGCAGTACTCGGAGACGCTCAAGAGCAAGGTGCTGGGATACGATCTAGCGGACGGCTCCTCGGTGTCCATCCACCAGCCGAGCGTGGAGGGCGTGCAAAACACAGGGAACTTGGATCACGACGCACAGGCGGTGATGGAGATCTACTTGCTGTCGATGAGCGATGTCCTGGTGACGAGCCCGCCATCCACGTTTGGCTACTCGGCGGCGGGGCTGGAGGGCGTGCGGCCCGTGCAGTTCGTGTGCGACCAGAACAAGAGCGTGGTCTGCTCGGTGAGGGAGACGATGGAGCCGTGCTACCACGTTTATCCGGCTCAATTCGCGCTGGACAACATTGAAAAGTGCGAATGCGGCATGGGTTTCAGACTAGTCTAAAGTACATTCTTAGAAAGGGTGTTGTCTTAGAAAGTTCTTAAAGCTTTTAAAATTTTATTTTCTTTCTCGTGATAGATTTCTAAGTTGCTCCTTGGCTGCATCACGCAAATCTAGCGTCATTTGTAGACTTGCGTGGTCAGGTCATGCTCTTGGCCCATGCAAAGTTGCACCAAGGCTGCCTGGAAATCCAGGTAATTTGGTACCAAGAGCTTATAGACTTCAAATGGCGAGCTGTCTTTTGTGCAGGACTTTGAAAAACTGCTCGTAGAGTGTTCTGGCTTGGAAGCTAACGAGTCTTGTTTTGACAGATGGCACGTGCAAAGGACTTGACTGTTTACCAAGCCCGGTGGAGAACTTTCTATGTGAATGAATATAAAACACTGGAGGCCCATTGGATCCAATCGTAGCAGAGCAAGCACAGCTCTTGGTTCTTATACAACGATATCATCACTACGTTTAGTGCTTTTGTGGCTGGAATGGATCGTGGAAGGATACTTCTTGCCATCACATTGGTGATCATGATCAGCGGCAATATCGATTGTTCCAGGCCAGGCTCATTTTTGGTGATGAGCCAACAGGCCGAGCTTTTCAATTTCGAATTGCGCCTTCCTGTTGCTAACAAGATCCACACTCTTCTCGAAAGGACCTCCCGGAGAATGCTCATCCAGGGTCAGCCCACGCCACCCTCCGGCCCTTCCGAGGACAACCACGATCATGATTGAAGAGGCGGACAGCCACGTGGCTGACACGTCACGCAAGGAGACACGTCAGGCTCTTTCCATCTGGCGGCGAATTCTCCTCCAAATCCTTCACCTCCACTTCTTTTCCCATTCTTTCGCACCTCCGCTCCCTCCCATTACAGTCACACACCCAGCATGCGTCCAGGAGGGGACGTCTCACCAAGGTGTGGGGAATGATAAAGGCAACTTTCCATTTTTCCCTGTCAACTTCAAGAGACTTGAGAGCCGCTTGGAATTCCCAGAAGTTCCACTCCAGCAAGTAAAGTCTCCACAAAACTTTCAGGGATGTCGTGTACAGCTGCGAGCAATCAGCCGTGGTGGTGGCTTGCCCTTGTTCTGGCGAGAAGATCTGCAAAGAGGAGCGGCTGCAGTGAGTCTCGAAGATTCGCAGGTCGTTCGGATTGGGCATGGCTTGAGGGCCGGGCAGGGCAGGAGGGACAAGAGCCGGTGGTGCTAGAGCAGGCTGCAGAGGGAAATGGGCAGCACTGGCAAAGGCAGATTTTCTCCCACTTGACGTGATGCAGTCCCATTGAAATGCCCGTCTGGTGAGATGCCATAGCCTAGGAAAATGCTTCGTTCGCTTGTTGGAGTGTGTTTTTTTTCTAGTTATAGAGGGGATATGGACGCCATGGAAGGTGCGCTAATCCATTCGAATTCCACTTTGTGCAAGAACCCTTGACAATCCTGGACCTCAACATTGA